CTTTCTCTTTCTCTTTCTCTTTCTCGCCGGTCACTAGTTTGAATGCCACAGTTTTGTTCTGCAATGTTACGTGTTGAACCGCAGCTTTTGTTGGGACCTGAGATTCTGTGCCATGGTATTGTGCTTACTGTCACACCCTCGTAGTTCGTGATGGAGTGCCTTGCCGCGGAACAGCGTTGCCATATCGCTTCTTTTCACTTGCCCAAGAAGGTTCGATTTAATTTTCTTACGGCAATACCTCGATTGCAGGAGCCCGCAATCAACTGTGAACGATGCAAGGATGCTACCAACCGTCATATTGCAGGTATTTTCGACAGCCTCTGTGTTGATGCACTGTGCGTTAAGAGTTATTCCAGCTACACTATGATTGTCACGACTGTGACCTTTCAGCAGATTTGCTCCTGGAAAACCATGGCTCTCGCGGCAACCTGCCGTTATTTCTCACAGGACATTCAACGCTACGTGAGAGGCGCAGTTCATATTCGGGTTATATCTGTTCTTGAGTATTCGATGCTACACAATCTTGACTGTGGTGTCCATACGTCCCCAGATGAGGAAGATGTGCAAGCGGACGCAGCGGTACTCCCTTTTCTGCGTCGGCAAGTCCTGCATCTGCGTTGATTGTGACTTCGCCGCCATGACGCAAAAAAGAAGGTAAGTGCCCTGCTCAATTCTGCATGTTGAGGCTGACTGACGTTCTAGTTCTCCTCTCTCTCTCTCTCTCTCTTTCTTTCTTTCTTTCTTTCTTTCTTTCTTTCTTTCTTTCTCTCTCCCTCGTCCTGCTTCTTCCTCTTTCGCTGTCCCTTCTCGTGTCCTGTTTTCTCTCTCTCTCTCTCTCTCTTTCTCTCTCTCTCTCTCTCTCTCTCTCTCTCTCTCTCTTCCCCTTGTCCTCTCTCTCTCTCTTTCTTTCTTTCTCTCCCCTTCCTCCTTCCTCCTCCTCTCTTGTCTCTCCTCTTGTCGTAGAAGGTCACACCTATGCGTTATGGCTCAACCAGATTTCTTACGCTGCTTATATTCAGCTGTGGCATGGTCACATGACGGCTTCCAACGACATGAAGAGGTCATCGTTTCAAGCTGGCTTCCCTGATGACTCTTTTCAGGTGCTGATACGGGTTCCACCTGACACATGCACCCAGGGCCAAAGTCTTTCGCTACGTGTGACTAATTCAAGGAACGAATCTATTGACGACGTGAAGCGCACCTTGCAGTATGCGATCCATGCCAGAACATCACAATATCCGCATGCAAGTTGCTTTCAGCTACGTCAAAATGGTCGCCCCCACATTCCATATACTGAAAGCGCTGCTGTGCTCAGTCCGGACGTGCCTGTCACGTTCCATCGCACGGCACCTGAGTGGTAGGAAGGACTGCCTTGAGCTTAGTGTTTTGCAGGCGAGACTGACTGCTTGAAGCCGAGTACGTTGCAAGAGGCAAAATACGTCCCGCTTCATACTGCATGCGCGGATTCCTGTTTTTCTTCTTTCTACTTTCTTTCTTTCGTTGAAGTGACTGCCAGCCAGGTTCAACTTATGAGTTGTGAGACGTATTCTGTGCTTTGACAGCCGCAGCGTTTCGAATCTGGTGTAGTCCTGTAATAAGTGCAATTCATGGAGCCAGAAGATGACAGGAGGTGGTATTGGTTTTTACGACCTGATGGAACGTGGATCCAGGTATGGCATACGATCTGGAGGTCCTTACAGCTGCGCCATCGAGAGGACCAAGGTCAGCAGTCTTTTCAGCTGACCAACACCTCTGATTCTTCTGACAATACCAAGAAGCGCAAACGGGCTACAAGTCAGGATTCCTAATTCGGATACAGTTGCACGTATTTCCAGATCCAATCTGGACCGTATACAAGGATGCTTTACTGCCCATCAAAGAAGACATGGCTGTCCGCTGTTGCATTTCGTTTGACATTCACATTGAAGCCATCTTTCACATATTGTTGCTAATGGAATTGATGTCCTATTCGCCCCTGCGGGGGCTTGTCTGTGCAATTCTGCTGTACATGCGACGAGCCCTGACCATGGCTGTCGCGGCTACCTGCCGTGATGTTTTACAAGATATTTGAGGGTATGTGGAAGGTGTTTTCCGTATTTGGGTTGCATCCGTCCTTGAGTTCTCTCTGTCGTGCAACATCGAGTGCAGCACGCCGTCAACGCCAGAGCTGTTCAATGTCCGCGTATGAGTTGCTTCAGCTACGACAACATTGTTGCCATATTCCATATACAGAGTCTGCGGGGACACTCAGTTCGGGTGCACTTGTTACGTACGTTCGCACTGCTCCTGACTGGTGAAACCATACAGTGTGCGCAGTGATGTAAAATGAAGAGAGCTGTCCGCCTGCCAATGTGATGCGTGTTTTCAGATCTCTATGTCAGCGCTTGGTGTAATCAAGATATTATGCGCCGAAGGCAAACCAGTTCCTGTCACCCGCTTCGCATTGCCACCAGAGAGAGAACAATTTGATACTCCCCTCCTGGATGTTTCCATGTCTGAGGTGATGTTTCAGCCCCTACGGGGGCTTGTCTGTGTAATTCTGCTGTACATGCGACAAACCCTGCATTTGTAGATGACATGGCAGTGCTTGCATTCATTGATGACATGGACGTGCTTGCAATCTTGCATGTTATGATCATGATTTTCATTTTTGACCGCTTTCGTCGTTTTCCTGGTTTTCCTTTTCCAAAACTTTTTCCGTCCGCTACAGTTGCAGGGGGCATCTGGGGCATGGAAGGGTCAGGTGCCAACGAAGACACCTTTCCATCGCCTGTGATATCAGCTCTGGACGCAGAGCTGACGTACCTGCAAAAAAGCTGGGGCCCCTGTGCCAGCAAGATTAGCAAACGTTTCTCGGATTTCACAAAGGCAGGTGTTCAGGTTTTGACGATGTTTTCCACCATACAGATGATCGAAATCTATATGGACTTCGTGCTCAACCAGGCAAGGTCGGATATGCACTGGCAACCTCGCCATCAAAGCTCTGTGTGTGTGTGTGTGTGTGTGCGTGTCTCTCTCTTGTTGCATCCCGAAAGAAAGGTGACACCTGGTAACCAAGCCACGGTCTTGAGTGCTGCCATCTCCACACTTGGCCAAGTAGCATTGTGGGAGGTTGCTCTCAGCATTTTTCACCAGATTCCAACCAGCAAGATCAATGAGGTAGACCACATGACGATCATGGTTGCCCTTTGCAGTGGAGGTCAACGTGCTCTTGCTCACCAGATGTTCAAAGATAAAGCAGAGAGAGGCTTGACGATTTTGGACTTGCACAACATGCCGGTGGTGGTTGCAGAGCTGGCAGTGGAGACTGCGCTGGACGATCTGACAGGCATGCTGGACCGGCCAGACCCGTCTGAGGAAGTCCAAAGTCTCAAGATCATCACAGGGCGCGGGTCTCGCAGCGCAGGCGAAGCCTTGGTCCGCCAAGCTGTCTTGAGGATGCTCGAGGCGAGGTCGGATGTGAGGCTTCAGCCTAGCCAGAATCCGGGACTCTTGACATGCATTCTGGAAAAACGGCCGTGGATAGCATCGACCCCTCTCCTAAGCCGCTCCACCTCCCGTCAATGACTTCCAAAGCCCCAGGCAGCCAAATGGCATGCTAGGCTGTCTAACCCGCACTTGGAATTGATCCGTCCGGAGGATGCCTGTTTCCTGGCATTCAATGGTGTGCTCAGCGAGCTCGGGGCCGTGGAGGCATCGATTGCCATCCTGACCTCTTGCCGACTCTGCTGCTCGCCATGCCCGCAGGCAACCTGCCAACAGCTCCTCGCAAGACTGCCCTGGGCCTAGTCGAACCCGGCTTTCAGACATATAGAAGAACAGAAAGAGGGGGAACAGAAATGGAAACGAGCTCGGAATGTTCGAAATCTTTGTATTCACTCAGGCATTCGGGACCATCCGTTCGCTGGGAGGACTGAGCCTGACGGGAGGGACCAGATAGCTGCAGCCCGCGTGGGGCCTGAGGAGCTTCTGAATCTGGATCCCGCCGTCCAACTCCTGGGCTGCACAGGAGCTCAGGTCCAGGCCAGGTGGAAGCGCTTCAATCCGCCACTGCTCACTGCACTGCTCAGCGCAGAAGCTGATTGCAGGACGACCAGAGCGGGCCGCTTGGGAGCCATCAAGGCAGGTAGACCGACTGGCGAGACACTTGCAGAGTGTGTGCGATAAGAGGCTGGTGGCGAGCTCTTCTTGCGAGACATGGCCTTTATGGCCCGGGCAATGCAACTCGGCTTTGTCATGTTGCCCTGTGCCCCCTCCTCTGCCGTGGAAAATTCTCACCTGGTGGTGGCTCCACAGGCGATGGGTGTTCCAGAGCTGACAGAGCTGGTGACAGACGCTTTGCGTTTTCTGAACAGTACTCAGAGCTGAGATCTCCGGCATGGTTTTTTATTGTCAATGCAGCATCATAGTTCAACCTAGGCGGGATCGACATGCACCGGAGGCACTGTCACTTCGTTTGCTGCTCGTGTTTTGGAGACGCACATGCAACAGGCATTCTTGCGAAATCTTCGCACTGTACATTCTGGATCGTACTGCCGTCTGGCGTTTCCTTTCAGTGGTCTTGTTGGCAGATGCTTGACTTGCTTGATGCCAGGAAGCGTCTGAAGGAGCTCTACGGTAGTTTCGAATTTCATGCCCGCGGAATGATGGGCAAGAGCTACAGGCACACGCCGAGAGCTTTACTTGCAGAAGCTGCGTGCAACATGGTTTTACCCTTGACTCCAGACCAGGTGTCGAAGCAGACTCACGCGCGAGGAGCACATCTGCCGACAGGCCCTTGCGTGAGGCTTTTTCACAACTTTGTACATCATTTTGCACAGCAAGTTTGGAAAGCTCCACAGCCAGAACCGATTCTCCCAGAAGCCGATCAACTTTACTATGAAAGAACCTAGTGTATTTCTGCGCGCTTCAAAGGTGCAAAGTGCCAGGTTCGGGTTTCCGGCAGAAATTCTCAAATTTGCGCACACCTCTTGTCTTGGATCATTACACCCACAGCTTCTCCTAATGTCCGACTCCCTCATCCTGGCTGTGCTCAGAGGTAGTCGCGCTGGCAAAAAGTCCCAGTTAAACAAGATTTCGGCCAATCTCCCGTGCTAACTTTGAAGCTCACGTCTGACGTGCTCAATGTGGCTTTCGGGCCATAGATCGGTAACAAAGCCAGTTCGTGCACTGTGTCGGCTAGTAGAAGTCAGTAGAAGTCCATGAAGACACCGAGTCATTTCATGCCATTTGCTAGATACGGTCACCTTCTCGATTGTCTCTCTTCAACACGAGTATGCCTTTGTGGTTCGGGATAGTAAACATCCTTTCCCATCGACATACTTTTCCTGTTTCGGCGCAGACTTGTAGCCTTCGGCAGTGTTGAACAGAGTCACAAAGACCATGGTCTCAGCTTTGAGGCTCTCCGACTGCAGAATTCCCTCTGGGATTTTGGATATGTCCTGATTTGAGATTGAAGTGCTGAAATATCATGGAGCCAGCCACGGCCTCTGCCTCAGTTATGATACATGCGATCATGGCGCGACTAAACTCCGACCGATTGTTCAGAATTTCTCCCTCAAGCAGCTCATGCTTCAGGTCCCGCTGTCTGATGTCGTCAGAAAAACAGTTTAGGCATCTACTTGTTTCTCGGGCCGTGGACGAATCGAAAAATCTTCTCCATGGCTGAAACACGGCTCTCGCCTGCCCAGCCGGAAACAGTGAATTTGCCGCTCGACGTTGCAATCGATACTGTACTCTTAGAACCGCCGGCAACGCCTGGGGCATGTGTATGGACACCCATACTGTCCGTGATGGCTCGTTCGCCCCAGTTAAGTGGAAGAATGTCCAACCCATGCACTGCTATGAAAATCATGTTGAGTTACGCAGGCAAAAAGCCGCCTGGGTTATAGGACAGTAGTGAAAAAACGCAACCGCAAACCCCCTGACGGGTCGGTGCAAACGTCAGCGACGGCCAAGCAAGTGAAGCAGCTTGCGTGCGCATCTACAGTCTCTGTCTGGCCTAATTAAACGCACCTCGGACGTTGAGCGATATGAAGCTGACAGTAGCCGAATCCAGACATCTTGTCAGGTGTGCAAAGACAAAGTTGCAGCTCCGTCCGATCTGGTTCGCGCCGAGGCCCTTTGATTCAAGATTGAGTGTCTGCCACGCCAGCATCAGCTGACATCTGCATGAGAAGACGGCAGGTTGAGATGCTGAGAAGCCTCGAGCATCCAAGTGTACCCCAGGTGCGGTGATGGTGTCGCAGGTGGTGGTGGAGACGGAATTGAGAAACTCTCTGTTCCGAATTCAAACAGCTGGCATCAAGAGGTGATCGCTAGCTTTGAAGATTTCAACAACATCTACATCGTGTCAGCTGCTCAGCAAGCAATGCTTTAGTGGTAAGGCAATGTAGAGCTTACGTGTGCCCAAAGAACTGGCAAGTTTGCAGCTCACGCAGCCGTTGTGGGACGAGCCGCGAGGATGACGACAGGCTTATATGATTTTGGTAGAGCTCTGTCGGAGTCAAGCACTAATTGTACATGAATGCCATAGACAGGAAGTTGTTCAGGGCAATACCTTGCGAACATCACAACCCTTGCACTTATGGGACGATGTCTCATTGCCTCGTTAGCAGTGATCAGCCTTGGCTTTGTCTGCATACGGGGACAAAGCCTTCCCACCATTGACTACTTGAACTTGAATTTGGAGTCCAAGTTCCTCCTCCAAGCATTCGCCGAAGAGGGAATCCTGCTTGTCCCTGGTGTACCAGGATATGCTGCGGCAAGGACAGCAGCCCTCTCAGCGCTGGCACCTTGTCTGAACAGCGCTCAAGGAAGAGACAAAGCTCTCAGGAGGCTACTCGCAGATGGCTCGGAGAGGTCCACAATTGCCACCAAGACTCACGGACACGCATTACAGCCTCTGTCAGTTGGATGTCCAGACTTCCAGCACAAGGCAGACATGCTCAGGACAGTGGTGCACATCGCGCTTGCTGAGGTCCTCCGTGTTTGGGGTCAAGCTGGATCTGCAGAACGAGTGATCCTCCGACACGATGCTGGCCATGCATACACAAGTCTCGCAGACGCTGCTTCAGATGCTACGCACTTGGAGCATTTCCATTTGTATTCCAGCAAAGATGCTGATGAATCCAATGCTAGTCTTGGACTTCACACGGATGCCGGTTTGCTTCTTGCCTTCACCTCGCCTTTGTACCAGTCAGATCATGCCAGTGGACTGTGGATTCAGCGAGCCTCCTCAATAGAGTCTGTGGAATTGCCAGCAGATGCGATCGCTTTTGTTGTGGGTGAGGCAGCAGGCTGGCTGCCTTGGGCCAGCCGTGCTTTGCCCCACGAACTGCGGCTGTCGCCGCGCATGTCAGATCGAGCGTGGTATGGCATCATGACTCGTCTACCGGAAGACGCGGTGAAGACCTCCGACTTTGACCCCGCATCACAGCATCAATTGACGTTCGGCCGATGGTGGGACACGGCTGCTAACTCTTTGATGTCAACAGGCACGGTGGGCTGCGGTTCTGCACATGCAGCAGACCCGACCCACAGTTGTCCAGAAGGTGAGGCCTACTGTTGGATGCAATGCATGATGCTTCCGCCAGCCTGTACGGCCAGTACGGCGCATTGCGTACACCCAGATAGCACGCCCTGGACGAATCACAGTGAGATGTGTCCGACCTGTACTCTCACCTGCCCTGCATTTCAGGGATGGGGCTTTTGTGACGAGGCTGCTGCTTCCGACATGATAATGCAAGGATTTGTCAGCTTCGGCTTCTCCGGCAACAAAATGAAGCCATGTGTGGTGCTTTTTTTTTCAAGCTGGATCCTTAACACTTGGTGGAAGTTTTGGCTTGGAGCTGGGGGTGTTCTGATGTTGGGGGTCACTGTGGAGTGGGTCTCGACGTTGCATATCGCGGCAGAACGCAAGTTCGGACGCCTGTTGCAGACACTACTCTATTGTGGAAGGATGACACTCGCCTATATGCTAATGTTGGCGACCATGACGTTCTGTATCGAGATTTTTGCGGCTGCTATTGCTGGACTGGGGATCGGACATGCTTGCTTCGGAAGCTGGAAGAAAGGGCTGAGATTGAATGGACCATCGCTTTGCTGCAGTCACGGGTCTGTAGATTTCAGGCGCAGACAGCCGCGTGACATTCGTGTGACTCCCTGCTTACAAGCAGACGACTGCATAATCCTGCGTGTGATGGGGATGACGTGTGGAAGTTGTGCCCAGACTGTGACGCATGCACTGGAAGGAGTAACCGGAGTTGTGTCCGCACGTGTGACCTTGGGCCCAGTTGCAGAGCCAGGAATCGGTACAGGTGTGGGGACAGCAGAGATCTGGGTGAACGCAGGATTTTCAGGGGTCGATGCTGCGGTCGCTGCCATTGAGCTGGTTGGGTTCGAAGCGCAGCCCGTTCCAAAAGCATGACAGAACCATGAACCACGTGCTGCACTTTGAGATTTGGGTGTCAGCTGGTTTCACCGAAGCTTCGCTATTTTCAGTGCTGGTGCGTGTGCTGCCTTGTTGGTACTCTTCCATCGTGTGTGCTGCCAGCCGGTGTTGCGGAAAGCAAGGACCACACACATTGCATGTCACATGTCGATATATATATATATAGCAGACCATCAAAGATGCACACTTGTAGGTAGTATTGCGAATTTGCGATTTGTCAGGCTCGAGCCAGTGGAGAGCATCGAGTTAGTCAACATTCTGCCGCTCTGCGTTGAGTTGGACATGGTAGGACTCGCTTCGATCATGAAGCTTCTAGTGAGTCCGCTAAACATTGTTTGGGGATTGCGGGCAATCCTTCAAGCCCCTGTGCAGCCGCCAGGCAGCAGTGGCATCAGAATGGTCAAGGATTGAGTGTTGGTTGGCTGGTCGTGAGCTTACGGCATCCTTGTGCTTGGTTGCCTTGTTCGTGCACTGTCTGCCGACTGGAAGCTCAGCTCTCGGCGGACAGGCCGAGATCTCCCGCCAGTTGTTGGAAGCCTTCAGGCTGGATGTGCACGGGGATCATACCTTCACAGGTTGGAAGCATTCCACCCAAATTGCCTTAGCCAACGCGCTTGCAGCAGCGTCTGCACCAAGAACGGACCCAGACCATCCGAAACGAGGGCGTCGCGGCAAATGAAGCTGAGCCGTCGTTCTCACACCCGTCCACAGGGTGCAGTTGAAGTTGTTCGTCACGAACCCCGCGCTTGAAACACACTGTTCTGTAGCTTTTGTGTACGGGGATGGTGACGACCTGATCATGCCAATGCACACGTTAGGCCACGCCTTGGCAGGTTGCACTGGGCAGAGCAGTGTGCCCAAACTGGCACATCTCACAGCCCTGTGCCCAATCCCGATTTACCAGTACGCGTTGTTGCCAATTCACGCACTGTCTGGAGTAATTGGGCTGCCAAACTCCTCTGTTAAGCCTTGTAATTTGCTCATTTTGATTGATGAGCTCGCACAAGCCGCTTTTGGCCCAAAATGCCTTGATGCCAGTTTGTTTCAGAGCAACATCGTGAAGAAACGAAGCGATGACTGACTCTGGTGGTCCTGAGCTTTTTTTGGTACGCGAGTGCCGGTTTTGAAGATGATTGACAGCTTTCTTCCTCGCTTACGGCCTGCGCCACGCATCCTCTGAGGACGGCGGGTGTATGTGCACCTTGCGGCAGTGGGGGGATTAGGCTTGCGACCGTTTCGCACCCGTCCTGAAAAACCGCGACGGATCGCGATCGCGACTTCGGCGCTGATGGCGCAGTTGCAGGCGGGAGAATCAAGCTCGCGGACGGGGCCCGCCGCCTTGCCTTCAAAGCTGAACGATTCAGAGTTCACCAAGGGGCTTTGCGAATCTTGGCGAACGAGCACGATTGGCAGCTGCGCCGGCCCGACAACTTAGCCATCCTCCCGATGAGCTCCAAAAACGTTTCGGCTTAAAGTTGTGCTTCCCGTCCTCGCAGTTCTGTTGGAGCCTCGGGACATACGAGAGTGGCACACAGGATTCCCTTGCTTTACACTCCAAAATCTCCGAAAGGATAAAAGGTAAGACTTCCAGCGTACGGCCGTTTTCCGTGGCACTGTGACTTGCTTCTTCGCCATCTTCTCTTTGTCATCGTCTCTTCGCCTTTTGACATCCTGCTCCTAACAAGACCCTGGCCATCAACTTGGATTCGCCTACAAGACTAAGGCGCCTGGGACCTGCGTTTCCGCAGAAAAGCTTGTTATAGCTTGCTCTTCGCGTCGATATATATATATATATGCCCGGAGGCCGAAAAGACCCCCAGGGCAGCCCCGCTGCCTGCAGGGACCTTCGCCCATTCAACCTGACAACCGGCTTGCTCGCAAAAGCCGGCGGGGCACAGTCGCGATTCTTCAGTTTATGGAGGCAGCGAAATCTCGAAATTGGAGACCTGTATTTGTTCAACAAGAGCTTCCCAGGACCGTCGGCGGGACTTAATTCAATTGCGGGCCACGTATTGAAATAGATAAAGTTCCTGGGAAGTCGCATGTGGTTTTCAAGCATGGAGTGCCTGGCCATGGACCAAGCACGTGGGACGAAGAGGGCCAAGCCGAAGGAGTCAAGTCAAGATGCCGGACACTGCCGCCAACCACAGGACAAGGCAAGCGTGGCCCAATTTCACGATGTTGGGAACGAGAGGCAGGTGGCCGCCAAGGACAAGTACAGACGTAGAAGCTTGCGTCGCAACGACATCACACACATGTTTAAACTGTTTTTACCCGCAAGAAGAACATAGGAGAAGCATACGCTTCACCTTTGAGAAACGGGTTTGTGGTTGGCTGTACGGCCTTTCCAACTCGAGTACTTACTAGTAGCAGAGAGGCTCCGTGTTGAAGCAACTTGAAGCAACTGTGAATACATTCATCGGCACTTGAAGCTGCTCAGATGCTCAAGGAGATAATGCATCAACAAGCAACGCAAGAAATTCCTTCTGATGAACGTGGAAGGTGGTTGTGACGGTGAGTCGATGTTTGTGTGTTGACGTTGTGAGCGTGGCCTTGATCGAACTCTGTAGAACAACGGTCTCCCCGGACTGATGCCTTGACGATGTTGTGTTGTCACGGTGTAGGTAGGTTCTGAAACATGCAGCATTGGCAAGAGCAGGCACTGCCATGAAATGCGGCCACGCAGCCTCGCACCGAGAGCACCCGCAAAGCAGGGCATGTGTGCTTCTGTGTCTGTGTGCGTGTGTGCGTGTGTGCCCGTGCATGGAAATAGGCCCATAGGCATCGCCAGCAGTGCAGCACAGTAGTACTGTTGATTCTGTCCTACTTTGACAGCAGCTAGAGAATTGGCAGAAGTCCGGATTGGAGCTCTTGGTTTCCAGAATGAGGTGTGGTTCACGGTGATCTTCGCCTCACCAGCCTCTTGCTCTCTGCTGTCACGGATGCTCGGACGGCCCCACAGCTGGTCTTAGCAGACCTTGGCCGAAGCCTCAGTCGAGGCCTGGAGGTGTAGATCTGGAGTTTCCTGCTGAGGGCTGAGCGGAGCCTAGGCCTCGCCGGCTTGCCGCTCCCGCCGCCGCCCCTGGACAGGCCCAAATCGGAGAATCGCCTTCGCTTGTTTTCCATGTACGTCTCACAGGTTCCCGGCGACTCCTTCAGTGCCAGCTTCAGCTTCGTTGCCTTTTATGTTTGCATGTGCTGATCGCATGCACGTATTGGGGAGCTCGTGGCTCAGTGGACGTTTGGAATTGTTTAGGCCCCGCAGCACGGAAGTTATCTGCCAGAAGCTTCTGCAACTTGCAGCAGTGGCAATGCAGCTTCTTGACTTGCCATGGATCCATGCTGCGTCGGTGGAAAGTCGTGGGTGGAAGAAGTTCTGGTGGCATCGTAGTTCGCGAAGGCCCTTTCTGATGTCCAGTGTCGTTCTCGCTGAATCCAGACGTCCTTGGCGTCGTAAAACCATCACCAATCTCGATCAGGTCCAGATTTGGGTGCTAAATCGATCTCTGAGCGCTTGGCAACCGGCGCCGTCATCGAGGCCACCCGAAGGCTCTAAACTAAGCGCCACTCTTCAACTTTGAGATTCTCACTGGCCCAACACAGCGGAAATGAACTTCAGAAGAGGTAATATCGTTGCGCCTTAATTGAACGAACTGCTGGATGTTGGCTAGCTGGTTAGCCTGTTAAAGAAGCTCTGCGCAGGAGGAGACAGCTTTGGCGGTCGGTACCTGTGATCGACTTCGATATCGCAAACTATTGGGACAAGGACCAGAAACTGGCTGGATAAGTTTTGAAGCGAACGGAAATCGTCTTATCACCCCTGTTAAGCATGTGTCGTTCAAAGAGACGTCGTGGTTGGAGACCACACGATACCAAGAGATTGCACAGGTCCGTGCAGTAGTTGAGGCTAACTGCTGTGAAGTCGGCGATGCTGTTTCGGCGACGTTTCAAGGCGATCCTGGTCTTATCGGCGCTGATGCTTGCCCGGGAGTTGGGAATCTATTTTGGAGAGATCAATCTGCCAAGCAGACTGGGCTTCCTTTACCAATTCCTGTCTCCGAGCAATGGCGTGCGGTCGTTTGCAGCAGTACAGAGTTTTCTGAGCAGTCAGTTTGGGATGGTGGTGTCGAGAACTCGTCGGGGTCTTTTTCGCTGGGGCTTCGGCCGTTGTTCCCTTCCGAATGTATCGAGCGGCTACACTTAAGTTCTGATGGAAGAAACAGTCAGTTGAAGGTGTCTGTTTTGAGCGATGCATCAAGAAAGCAGGGCCCACTTCGGGCCAGAGAGGTTGTTCAGTCCACGCTGACGGTGTCAGAAGAATCTGGCGTGAAGCCCTCCCGACGGTATCATCTACGCATTGACTGTGATCGAATCACTGAAGCTACCGACAAGGGGCTCGGCCAGGAGATGTCTCGCGAACTGGAGCGGTACTTCGAGCCTGGTTGTGTTTTGTGCACTTGTGAAGTTCGGCCCCGTGCGGACGGTCGGACGGAGTTGGTTCGAAGATTGCTTGGCGGGAGCATACTCATGGAGGCGGCACCGGGTCTAAAGCCTGCGGGTAAACCAGATTTTTCAGAGGCAATTCCGTTGCTATCCAGCCAAATCCTTTTCATGCTCGACGTGGAGACTCGAGTCTGGCTGTCAATCCGAGGCTTCCCTTTGGTCGATATCTGGCGGGGAATACGCAGGCCCTTTCAATGGGCAGTGTTTAGTGGAATGAATGCTGCCGCTTCTCAAATCTTTACGGTAGGCAGCGCCGCTGACACAATAGCTGAGCAAAAGCTCGGCCTTGATTTGCCTGTTCAAGCTGTCGACGAGCTACGCAACATTCTGCCGGAATGCAAGAACAGTGTTGGCGAGAAGCACGGCCAATTTACAGAAGGCTCGGTGGACATATTGAGCTTTATTGGGCTATTGAACCGTGTTTGCAAGAGAGCCGACGCGTGCTCGGACATCTTCCGAGAGTTTACTGATTTGGGCTCGGGCAGAGGCCATGCAATTCTGGCTGCTCATGCTTTTTTTCCGTTCCGCAAATGCCGCGGGTACGAAATCGATGAAGAAGCCCTTAGTGCTGCGGAAACGTCGGCTCGCCAGTACGTTCGTTCCGGACTTGTTATGCAAGCTCGCTCGACTGCTTTACCTCACAAGATGTTTCTTCGAGCGGACTTCGTCAAGGAGCCAAACTGGACAGATTCTTCCGTTGTCTTTGTGAACGGAGTAACTTGGCCCAGCAATCTTATCGCAGAAACAGCCAGGCTGGCACTGCGACTCAAGCCCGGTTCTGTGATAATGGTCGTTGCTCGTCGCTTCCCTGTCGAAATGGAATTTCTGCAGGCCTTCGATGTAAGAGGGGAAGCTTGCTTGCTGAGCTTCTCCCAAACACGGCCTTGTCAAGTGTTTGTTTACCAGCGTAGATAGACGGTTCTGGTTTCACCTTGTGGCGACCGTCTGTCGGCCTCATGCCTCAAAAGTATGTGTTGACGGGTTTCGTGCCGAAAGCCGCCTATGCAATTACATGGTGGGCGCACACTGGGGAGGTCCGTGTTACTTGCCTCTGGTTCTGTTAATCAAGAGATCCAACAGAGGTTCCATTAGCGTCGTGAAAGTCAGTGCTTCCGAAGAGTTGCGGGGTGCCGGCAGATCATCTTTGATCAACACCAGGCACAGCAAACCGCAGCGCCGTCTTCCGGATCGGAGGCTGACAGATTTGCACGTGTTTGCACAGACTTTGGAATTCCGCTTTGTAGCCTGTGCTGATGCAGAGTACTTTTATAGGAATGGATGCAAAGCCCGAGCACGCTGCTGGACGTATGGTCGTGTGGGTGGTGGAACCAAGCAAAATGTAGTGGATTGCGGAGATTGCTTCGTCCAAATCCGGTTCACAGGCTTGGATGGCTCAGGTGCTTGCTGTTCATTCTTCTCTCTGGTCGCCATCCTTTCAACTGTGATCTTGGTGGGCGACTGCCAAAGCCCCAGTCGCCCATTGAGTCACACAAAGAGGCTGCATGGTTGTTTGCAGGGTGCCAAGTGCTGTCCTGGGAACCTGGGGCTCTGTTCCCCCCGAACCTGATTGGCGACTGCTTGGATCTCGGCCACGATCTGGCCAGCATGCAGAAAGCGTTTGTTTAAAGTCATCTGAAATCTGAAGGCTACCTTCTGCCTCCTCCACGTCTCTCTGCGCGCAGATGCTGTCGTGGGACGTGAAGGTTGCAGGTCGGTTTACTCGACTTCGAGAAAGCATGCTCGAGCAGGCGCGCCCCTCGGCAGCCGAGTGCCTACGGCACTCCTGGCTCTCAGCGGAGGATTCCGACAGTATGGCCCTGCCCATGGAGGCCACGCCAGCAGAAGTGTCTGACAAGCACAGTGCAAGCGCGTGGCAGAGCATTGCAGGCCCTCGGCAACCTCTTGAAAGCTCATCACAAGTCCAAGTTGCAAGAGGCAGAACTTCAGGTTGCTTTTGCTGAGTTTGGGTTGGTCTCTGTCCAAGATCACCGCGGGACTTGCGATATCAGAGCAGATCGCCAGCCCCTTCTCCGCCGCTCGCTGCCTGGTTTCCGTCATGACTTCGTGCCCTGGGCATGTCAATATCAATATTTGTGCAGATCACAGCGAGGTTGGTGCATCATTGGCTGTCAAGCACGCCTTTGCTGATTTGGCAGGCAGTGGTAGGGTAGAGTTTCGGAATTTCTTTGATTGCGGTAGTGCAAGTGTTCAGACTGCAAGGTGATGCAGCCGCTGGTGCAAAGGCGGCCAGCAACTTTTGGGCTTGCTGATGGGTTGCCGATGCCTTTTCACTGTTGACCTTCAGAGCTCTGCGAGGAGCCAGTGATGGCCACTGTTGCAGCATCAGAAGCGAGCAATGCTTTGGAGAAGTTGGGAATGTCTGTAGCAGGCCTAGTTCGCAAGTGTTCTGCGTCGTTGGGAAAGCAGGAAGCATGTCCAATTGGATTAGCGCTGAGCTGAGGACAAAGGTATCGAGAAGGTCATCAAGGCATTTGCTGATGATGCAGGACGGACACATGCAGTGCACACTGGCGGCATAGGATGCAGCAGGTACATAAGTGCATCGTATGTCGATCACGGCTCTCCCGAAACGGTACCGTTCAATGGAAGCTTCATGGATTGGTGCAACGGTCAATGGATTTCCTACGGTCGCCTCTTCAAGCGAGAAAACTTGTTGGTCATAATAAGTCATAGCTCAAGATTTTCCTAAAGTTCAAGGTTTCACTGTCCTTGCTCTTGCCCCCCTACCTCGCACGTTATTCGAATTAAGTCTGTGGTCGGCTCCTTCGGGTCGCGTCCAACCCCTACTAGTATCATCTGGAACTCGCCGCGAGTGTAATTCATGTGCAGTGTCTTTAAGCACGGCGGTCAAGCACAATCCCAGTTGGTGAAAGGCTTTATGCTTTTATTTGGCAATTGTGCACACCGGCAGGCTGTGTCGACTACCAACGCCTCATCTCTCACTGCGCTGAGTTGGCGGAGGCCACACGGAGATGCACTGGGGTTCGCCGTGTATCGGGTCGCTGCAGTTTCAGAGGATCTCCTTGACCATGCACTCTGGCGGGTCTTCACCGCAGTCCGGGGCCCAGTCGTGTACGCTGGATCCGAAGATTTCTGAGCTTTGGAGTGAGGCCGGCGAAGATCACCGAGGAATTTTAGGAGCTGCTGAGTTGGAGAAGGCTTTAGCAGAAAGCGCTGGCGAAGGCTCCAAATGCGAGCAGTCGTTGCTGTAGGTACCACGCCAGTGACCTGTTCTCTGTTTGCATCGAGGTGGCGGAGCTGACAGGGCAGGTGGTGGTGAGCCCGATTCGCAAGGGAGTTGCACTCAGTTTGTGACTGCATTCGCTGGTCAAGAGCATGCCAACAGGATGGAATCACCGTTTCACTCATTGATTGAGCTTGCCCATATAAGGCCCTTCGGCTTGGAAATGAAAGCCAGTGACATCGTGAGGCAAGTGGCATGCGGTCGGCAGCAGGTGCCAACTCCAATCTGCTGATTCGCTGATGACTCATCACAGCTCATAGTCTCACGCGAACGGGCCGTGTTGTCATGGAGGTGACCTTTGAAGAACTTCGATCCGCGGTCATACAACGCCAGTCGACGCAGGCATGCGAGGGCAACACGCAGGCAACACGCAGGCTAGACGTACTTAGCTTGGATGGCTTGGAGTCTTCAGGGCACGGCTCGAGGCTCCATGCTGCCTTGTTTAAGCTGCGCGTGTGCTGGAAGAGGCAATTGCGGCAACGAGTGGGACAGATTGAAGCAGCGGCCTTTGCCGAACAAGAGCCTTTAGGACTCTCGTATTGGCGAATGTGCCGTGGCAGTTTCGCACTCCTGACGTGCTCGCTGTGTCATCAGCGTATGTAGGTTGGTGCGCAAAGAGTTTGTTCCCCGGCCTTGACTGGAGTTAGTCAGTCGGTTAGTCTTAGGCACACAAGTTGGCCATTTTCCAAAGAGGAGTGGACTTTGTGTCACGACTTTCACGAGACAGAAACATAGTGTATCTTTTCCTGAAAGCGCCAACACGGTCTGCAGAATGTTTGCTGATGGCCTTGGTCGCGAGAGCTTCACATGTCGACACAGCTTGCCGAGCTTTGACGCCCGGGGGAGTCCCTTGAGGCCCAAAAACTGCCAGACACCAGACTCACTAGACATCTCAGCAAGATCCATGCAACGCTGTCTTAGTCACTCATAACAAGCAAAGCACAGCGAACGTTTGCTTTAACAGAATCGTTAGCATGCCGCCGAAAGCGGCCCGCTCCCAAGAGTTCGGAGCATCAGCATCATTGCAGCTTGCTGTCGCCATCATGACTCAAGGCTGACAAATCTAAGCAGAAGGAACGCGAACCTTGTTCTGCTTGCGATGGTGTACATGTCGTGTTCTTTCAAGCAACCTTCTGACTCAAATTACTTGCGAGTTGCTGAGAATGGCATCTAAGGAAAAAATCGCCATCGACAAGACCTTCGGACTGAAAAACAAGAACAAGAGCAAAGTGGTTCAGAAGTCCTTCGTCAGCACTTTTCCATGACCTTGTGCAAGATGCTTCTGTAACAGCTTAGGACCCGACATACTTCAAGCACAACCATCCATCCCTCCCCTTCCCTCCCTTCCCTCCCTTCCCTCCCTTCCCTCACTTCCCTCCCTTCCCCCCCTCCCTCTATCCATGCATCCATCAATCCATGCATCCATCCATCCATCCATCCAAGCAGTTGTATGTTCGAGTCAGGCCCAATGGCCACAGCATGGGGCATGCGGCATCAGCCGCAAGCCCGCCAGGTATCCTTCGGTCCCGACAGGAACGATAGTGGTTCAATCAATTAATCACTCAGTGAGTCAGTCAGTGAGTCAGTCAGTCAGTCAGTCAGTCAGTCAGTCAGTCGCTCAAACAATCAGTCAATCACTCAGTCAGTCTATCAGTCAGTCAGTCAGTCAGTCAGTCAATCAACCCATCCATAAATCTGACCGGTCATCCATCTATTTATCCATCGGAACAAGGGAGGGAGGGAGGGATCAAAGCGGTTCACCTACCAACCGAGCAGTCCATTGTGCAAAGCGGGAGCAGCTGTGTGCTGCGTACTCTCTCCTGCTCCGTCGAGCGTCTCGGTCAGCTTCCCGGCTGCACTCAGAACAGACGCATGTCGCACGCGTTGATGGTGTCTCTGTCGACCTCACGGATCACTTCTCGAGCATGTTACTGCTCCAGCTTCTTCATCTCTCCAATCTCCAGGCTGTGTCGCCACTCCTGCTTGAGTTACTCTTAGCGAGATCGATGTCTTCAACTTGTTTGGATTGCAGAAGCTTCTTCATTGAATTTCACTGCATTGCCGAACACGATGCGGAATGTTATTCCAAAGTCAGAAGTTGTCGGCTTTCTCCCCTGTTTGAAGACTCTGGCTTCGAACCTGTTCCAAAGCTGTTCCTGGTACAGGGTCCGAGTTAAGGTCGGTCTTAAGCTTCTGATGCAGAGTGTGTCACGACTTGAGCTGGTGAGTCGTGTCCCATCCTCCCGAAATCCAAACATGCGCGCTGTACTGGCCATTGGGAGTCTTACCCCTGTACTTCCAAGTGAGAGTGAGTCTGAAATCATTTCATGTAGAAGCCGCCGGTATCCGCCGCATTTCACGAAAATGCATCTGCAAGGAAGAGATTAAGGTCGCATCACAAAGACTTTCGCACGAGAGTTGTAGTGCGATGGTCCGGGCAAGGGCGTTCTTGCTTGCTGTGCAGTGGCTGTAGTGCTCGTTTGTGGTCGCAGCTCGGACTGACGTTGGACATCGGTCATGATGGATCCATGATGGATCCAAGCAGCTGACGTCTTCAATTGGTTTGACAGCCTCATGGCACTTCAACGCAGTGACTGTGCTCTGGCAAGGTACATCAAGGCCATCACAAACAATGCGTCAGGCATGCCCGGTTCTGTTCTTTACGGAAAGCATGCAGTTGCAGTTCTTGCTCGAGGTGCTCCAAAGGGTGGGAAGGAGCAAGCAGACCGAGATGCAAAGGACACTGCCTCTGCTGCTTCCTTCGTTTGCGGCATGTGGCTGCGATATCAACTTCATGGAGGACGCCAAGCAAAAGGAGATACAGAAAGCTGCGCTAATGTGTCTTGAGCTGACATGTTTTTTTTTCCTCTCCAGGTCACAGATTTCACCTTGGATGTGCAGTAGTGAGATGTACTGAGTGTCAGAGTCAGCGAGATCTGCTGCTGCAAATCCGGCTGTGTCAACAATTGAGCAGATGCCGTACCCAGGAATTCATTATTCAACATGTCCACCGACAAGAAGGGAAGAGCGCCGGGCGATCAAGCCGTAGAAGTGCAATGTCCACCCAAATGCAGCGAAGCCAACTGTCCGAGGTTCGACGCTGTGGCCAAAAAGAAGGCCAAAGCCGCGGAGGAGGAGGCAGACGTCTCCCGCTTCCGACATGTCTGTGCGCTGAGAGCATTATTTTTGCATTATCTGTTCTGTTTTTTTTGGATGGGGGGCATATCGTGGCTGCGGCTTCGTAGCTTTTGGCTTTCACAGCATTCCCGCTTCTGGGCTTGTGGGCCTGGTTTCGGCTTCCACGACCTGCTGGCTTCTTGGCGTCTCTCACCTTTTCGACTGTCGAGGCTACTGCCTTCGGAGTCGTAAGTGGTAGTAGTCGTCGTCCTAGTCGCAGTGGCAGTGGCAGTCGCAGTCGAAGTGGTAGTAGTAATAGTATTAGCAGTAGTAGCAGCAGCAGCAGCAGTAGCAGTAGCAGTAGCAGTAGCAGTAGCAGTAGCAGTCGCACTAGTAGCACTAGTAGCACTAGT